GACCATGCCGAAGACGTCATCGTCAGACTGAAAAAATATTTTTTACATAATGGTCTCAGCATGGCTACAGTTGATAGACCTGTTCGAATGGTTCCTCAATTAAACCAGTTCGGTTCTAAAACGCGTCAGCAAATCTTTTGAATCTAAATGCTTACAACCAAAAAATATAAGCAGCATCTATACTTACTGCAATTCAAACTTTTAAATAGGTGTTTTGTTAAAATACATCCTTAATTGTACGCTAAAAAATTAAAAAAGTCACGTTTATCAAAAGAAAAGCATTCTAAATTTAATGGAAACCGATTCCTTTGACAAACATACCACTTTTAGGTCTTCAATCGCCAACTGTTGTAATCCACGAATGAAAACGGGAAACAAGCGTCTTATTCGTTCATACTCTTCAGACCCAAACTTTAAACCCATTTCGAAAAGAAGCTGTAAAAAGAAACACATCAGTGATTATGTTTACTAGCTAAAATTTCATTTTTTACAAGAAGTTCCACATTTCACTTTCACAGCAGATTTCTCGTAAGTTTCAAATTCTTGACATGGCGTCATTTTTCCTAAATAACTGGAAATAAATGAAAAATTTAGAATATTTTTCTAGGAATACCCTTGACAACTTACGTAATCCCCGTTATCAAAACAAGGGTAAAGCTTTAAGATGGTTTTCAACTTTTTCGTCTTTAACACTCGTATCCATTTCTGTCGACTTTCATAAGTGGTGGACAGCACGTCTTGCACGTGGTTCGCATTGATAATTATATCGTTCGTGTTCCAAGCCACTCGGATTTCCTCGATCTGTTTCCGGCATTCTTCGGGTAAGTTCTCGTACAAGTCCGGCTGTTTATCGTCCGTCTCCGCAAGCGTTTGTTCGGTTATGTTGTATTTCCACCTGTGTATACAGTCCTCCTTATCCAAGCCTTTTATGTCTAAAATTTTCGGTAACTTGGGTTCCGGTTCTTGATCAGAAATGGCGGTAGATTCCGGGAATGTTCGGATCGAACCGGAAAGAGACGATGTTTTGTTGATGTGGTCAGCGGATTCTTTTGGTTGAAGGCTCGTTCCGGTAGGTTTGGTTACACTGTCGGCAAACTTTTTCCTTTCCCATCTTATACGACGTATTCGCTGACTCAAACACTTGACAAATAGCGACTGAAAAGTAAAACGTCCAGCTTAAACTGACGTATATAAACAACACATATCAATTTAAATAAATGCCAAATAACAAAGCAAAATATTAACTTTGGAAGTTTGACAGGCCAAAATTTTGCTGTCCACAAGAATATCATTTCACACCTTCTATCGTCTTATAATTCACCAATACCCGAAGTAACTGAAAGTTGATTTGACTCTTACTTTTAAGAAATGCTGTTATAACTGCTTTGCCGCAATGGACGAAACTTTACTTTTTGACAAACATCTCATTAAGTAAAAATTACTCTCAAATCTTTTGATGCTGCATGAAATTATAAATATATATTAATGTGTTGTTACGCCACCTCGCAAAGCAACATCATGGTCTTTAAAGTTTTCCCCGACTTTACCCAGGTACTTTAAGTAATGAGGGGGCATGCCAGACATTTAAACCGCTTAAACTGAATGCAATGTAAGTCAGAGAAGTTCATCAGCTGTGTTAAGTTATAAGAATGATGGGATTTTTTTTTCAATCAACAGCTTATATTGAGATAGGTTTCACCTCCAATATTTCGATGTCTAGCAGGGCATCTTCTTCAGGGAATGAGGCTATCCAGGTGAACAGCCTCTACTCAGGAGACCCATACTTAGTATGTAAGTCAGAGAAGAATTTCATCAGCTGGGTTAAGTTGTGCCCTACCTCAATATTAGCTGTTGACTGAAGAAAAAACCACATCATTCTTATAACTTAACACAGCGGGTTATGGGAACGAGGCCTAAAGCAATATACAAACCCAAGGTTCCTGTCCATCGTGTCCTATACACGGATACGTCTCATACATGGTTTTCCCAATGCGTCGATACTCGGTGGCGTCGTTCACACGGCGTGGATAGTGTGTGGTGTAGAACAGTGCTGACTCCTGGACCAGGCGGTGCCACACTGCTTCCGATTTGCCTACAACACAGACAGACAAATAGACCATTCCCAGACCCTATCGTACTAACTGTGGATCGATCTATCTCCGAGGGGACTCTCGCCAAACTGCAATCAACTTAAGCGGCTTAGATGTCTGTCACGCCTACTGAAGCTGATAGGGGGCAATTAACTGTCGTTGAGCAGCTTTAGTAGGCGTGCCAGACATCTAAGCCGTTAAAGCTGAAAGTAATTTAACGAGAAACCCCTTGGAGATGGACCGATCCTGTGAGATCGATCTGGGTATGGGAACCCAGTCAAAGGCTACTTTGTGACAGGAATAGTCAGCCGCTGGACACCGTAGTCCGCTTCCCATTACTTTTTACAGGTGACATTCGTCCCATATACTAACCCCAATACCCTAACTAACCCTAACATGTAGTAATCATATGGGAGCCCGGACTTCCATTTGTAGGAGTTCTATTCCTGTCACAGTGGTATTGCAAGTGTTGGAACTGGGAGATAAATCTGCCATTCATTTGAACCATTTTTCTTTTATTGTTCCCTTACTATCCACCTTATCTTATTTCGCTCTTTGTTAATTAGATTACAGTAACTATCTATTTCTGATTTTATCTATTCATTGAATTTATTTATCGGATTTCAGATTAACTATTTACTCAGTGTAGTGTGTGTGTGTGTGTGTGTGTGTGTGTATGTGTGTCTGTGTTAAAACGTGGTATATCTTCCTCATGCAAAAACTGAATGTTTCTTAAGGTGGATAAGACATGCCACCTGCTTTCAGAGATGCCTCCACATAATAAGAAAACACTGGTAGTGCCAACTCATCCGGGTCCTTGGTGACGTCAGCTGTGACACTTCCGCTATAGTTCTGGACCCCGACTGAAACAGTTATTCAGGATCATTCATAACCGCCAGCAAAAAAGAATTATTTCACACGTCATTCAACAACAAGACAACACTGTGATCGGAGTAACTCGTAAAAAGAATAGGACAGCATACCACTCGCTTTTAACTTCCGAAAAATATCTGGGAAATGCATAGGTCAAGCACATTGGTTCTGAACGATCAAAAATACGTGCTTACAGGAACTTTCCACATTGAGGGACACAGCTCTACCGGTCTAATTTGACAGACTGTCAACTCAATAGCTTGTCTGTTGCGTAAGTGAGGTTACTTGAACGGAAGGTCCGCGCTCAATTAATTAACTATGCTAACTGAACGGGAAGCGAACTTTTTGGAGAACATGTGAAAGACAGTAAAGTCCCACATAGTGTAATTGCATGCTGGGACCTCGAGGTAAACCGGTACATTTGTATCTTATTAAGCACAGCTATGAAAACGGCCCAAAACAGACCCCTTACCATCATGTTCTGTGGGCAGAGGGCCGTCTCCAACACTACCCTGACTGGACTGAGATCTGGTCAACTGACCGTGGTCCAGACTTCCGCTGACCGGTGAGGTTTGGGGTGGTCTGGTGGGTACTGCCCCTGGGGGTCCCCGTCTTTGACTAGTGAGAGGGCTACCTGGTAATAACATACGTCATGTTATTGGAATGCACTCCTAAATTGTAGTGACATTTTTAAAAATTCAAAGAATATATTTCAATAAAATGTATAGATATTACAATATATAAAGTAAAAACATGTTTTTGTTTGACTAGTGAGAGTGCTATCTGGTAATAACACGTATCTCTGGATAGTTACCACGTTTACAGTCATGTTATTGTAATGTACTCTTGAATTTAAACGACATTTTTTAAAAAATAAGATTTTTTTTATATCTGTAGTTGTTATACGTGTCATTCTAAAAAAAAAACATATATAAAGGTCGAATATCAGTATTCCTAAATAAATAAAATAATAATTTTCAAAGTGAATTCATCAAATAATAAAACAGAGTTTTTCTTCAATCAACAGCTAGTTTCGAAACCGTTGTTTATTTTCCATAACACAATTGATGAAATTATTTTAAAGAAATCAAATTATGCACTTGCGTATTCACCAAAAAAGCTTAAGAAGATAATTTAATTTACCAAAAATCGATAACATAAGCGGGATTACATGCACTAACGCTTTAATACAAAATGACCTCTTGTCACTGAAGGGTGTAGGTCTACACAAAACTTCATTAAGTACCTGTGCCAGTGCTGTTCTTAACCTCGTCTCCAGAGTCATCAGAGTCAGACAGCAACACCACTTCTTCATTCCTGCACTCTTTTACCGGCATTGTATCTCTCTTAGTGACACCTAGATGTCGTCGAGGTGAACGCCGTGTGGTCGCGGCACATGTCACCCTCACTTGAGGTGTCTGCACGGGTCTCTTGATCTGGGGACTTTGTCGTCTTGGCGGAGGGATAACGGGAGCTGGAGCTGTAATACGGTTACAAGTTTTTGATAATGGTTTTACATGCGCTTTTTCAGCTAACAGATAATGAAAGATAAAATGTATTCAATATACACACTCTACCCCAAGGCCTATTTTTAATTGGCGTTAACCTCAGACAGACATAGACAGCGTGATGTTCAGATACTCTTTGCTTTGTGTTCAGGACCTGCACGTGCACTGGTATTTCCCTTACCTGACCACGTCTTCACAGTTGTGGACACTGGATTGTCCTTAACATTCCGCGCTGGACATGGAGTGACCGCAGCGTCCGGTGGTTCCCAGACCTCCGCGTCCCCTAATATGATGAGGACCTCGTTGGTTAACTCGACCAGCACCTCGTCCTCCTCCACCTCTGTGCCATCGCTCTCAGTGACCACCCTGGGACGGACCACACCGAACTTCTCACACCCTGAAAATCCAGATGTAAAATATGAACTTCTTACACCCTGAAAACCCCATTGAAAAATATGAGCCTCTCACACCCTAAAAACCCCCAGTGAAAAATATGAGCTTCTCACACCCTGAAAACCCAGTGAAAATATGAGCTTCTCACACCCTGAAAACCCCAGTAAAAATTAAGAACTTCTCATACCCTGAAAACCCCAGTGAAAAATATAAGCTTCTCACACCCTGAAAACCCTAGCGAAAAATATGAGCTTCTCACACCCTGAAAACTTCAGTAAAAACATCGACTTCTCACATCCTGAAAACCTCAGCGAAAAATATGAACTTCTCACACCCGATAATCATGAAATTTGAACATACTTTCATTGTAAAGTGTAAGCTGGTATATGTCACGGCACGATGAATGAACTAAGCTACTGTATAAGTATGAATAGGCTTAATTACTGGCATTAATTAAGTCAACACATCACAGCTTGAGTTACACAAAGGCAATGCACACAGAATACTGGTATATAAAAAGCACTGATAATAACTCCTCAGGGCAAGGATGACTATGACATATATTAATTTGACTGCATTCAGTCCCCGCGGAGTTGGATCAGTGTATATAGAACAATAGTTTCATTCAGAATGAGCCTTAATTGGCGATTAGGTGTGTGTGCATGTGCGTGCATGCGTGTTTGTGCATGTGCGTGCATGCGCGCGCGCGCGCGCGCGTTTTCATGGATGGCACCTGGTGGAAAGCGTGCATTACTGTAGGCGTAAACTATACTGTCTTACCACAGGGTGTATAAATAAGCTGATCAATACAAAATTACTACATATCGTACATACCATTATTTTGTATACTATTAAAGCAGCCCTGACATCAGAGGGCAGGCTTCTAAACGGTTTTATAGGACATCAAATGATGTTTTTCTCTTATTGCTCGTGTCTTTTATCCAAGACGCGTTCACACAATGAAGTAAAAAAAATAAGAAGAGCGAGCTGACATAAGTGATATGGCAAGACGCGACGTAAGTACCAATTAAGTACATATAGAATATAGGCCATTAGATGGAATAATTAATAAAACCATTGCAACTGCTAGATCCAAATTACAACTGCGGTACGTATAGGCCTACTTAATTAGCCTTGAGGAATAAACATTTTGTCTATTGGCGCAACACATATATATATAGGCCTACGCCTGTAGGCCCTATAACAAACTGCTTAATATTATCCAGGTAAGACTTAATGCCATAAGAGTATATAAACTAAACTTAATAGTGTAGGTAGGCCCTACATGTATGTGCAGGCCCGAAGCCGGGGGGGGGGGGGGGGGGGGGGGGGGGATTGAAAGAACCCCCCCTTTTTTTGCTATGAAAAGGTCCACACTGGGTAAATTTGATGTTTGTTTAATGACAAAAGGCCTACATTTACAGAAAAAGGACCCCCCCCTTTTCCATTTGCTAGCTACGGGCCTGATGGAGATCCCACTGCTACTACTAGGCCTACTACTAGGCCTACTACTGGTAGTCGGCCAGTAGGCCTATATCAGCGATATGGAGGTGATTAGCTTGATCTCACCTTTTTGCCGCAGTTCATTTAGACTCGCAGCAACGATGAATTTCCTCTTGGCTCTTGTTCTGTCCCATACCTTGAATAACATTATCCAGAAATCAACGTTGCCCACCTCCCAGACCAGAAACTACTTCCTAGTGGTATCAGAAAGGGGTGATCGCGAGTGTTTATTCACTAAACGCTGGTGGCCTACTTTCTATGCTGTGCAGTTCTCCTGTGTCTGGATAAACGGCGCGCTCTGATTGGATGTTTATATGAACAGAGCCCCGCTGACGGCAGTGTTTTCTTGATCATTTAAACACAATGTAGCGTTTATTGGCTATAACTCATTTCGCGTGCGCTTGCCCCAGTGTGTAATGATTAACAACGGCCTCTGATCGCGTTCTCAACTTGTTTTTAATAACGCCAATTGTGTCATTTGAACACGCAAAGTAAACGTACAATCTACCAGCATATTATTAATGAATTTATTCAGGCGAAGAGCTATGTTGAGCTTCGTGTATGATCGTTAATATTTGCGTTGGTTGTCATTACTGTACATTACTGAGGCAGCTGCATTAATACAACATAAATGAGCATTCACAATGACAAAGTAAATACAGCACTACCTTGCCTGTTTATCTCTATATTCATTCATTTAATTTTCCACTATCCATAAACATGATACACCCACCCATTGAGCTGTCTGCCTGCCTGCCTGTGTGTGTGTGTGTGTGTGTGTGTGTAGGCCTACGTGTTTGTGTGTGTGTTTCTGTGTATGCGTATGTGTTTGTATGTGTGCGTGCGTGCATGAGTGTGCGTGCGTATGTGTGTGTATGTGTGAATTATAAATCAGACTGTAGACGCCCAGGTATCTGAAGGGCATATGCACGTTTACCTCAATAACGTCAACTTTGCGTGAACGAGACTGGATATAAACTAATTAACATGCCTTGCCTGATATAGGTCTACCTGATATCAGGGGCTCCGTATGATGGTAGGCCTATACATAATTAATAATAATAATAATGATAATAATAATAACAATAATAATAATATTTATTTCTTAAAACCGCACTACACTAGCGTCTCAGTGCTGTTTACAGGTAAAATTATCAGGATTACAACTAATTATATATATAATAAAAGCTAGGTTAAAAAAAATTACAATGTTAGCCATTGAACATTTTGAAACAGTCTACTAGCGCACCCTGTGGCCAAAGAGTAACATATGCCTACTAACACTGGATTATTTATCCACACACATATGTACATACACTTATCTATGATGTGAATGTACGCTAGCGAAGGTTGTTTACATTAACACCATTTCTCCCATCTCTACCGGGTACCTTATCGTGCCGAGCACATGTATGCGCAGGCTTAGACCTATAACAGAATAGAAAAAGAAACGGTCGAAGAAGGAATTGATGGCTTTTCATTTGAATCTTAGAAATATACGACTGAGAGCTGAACAACAAACACAGTCGCATTTGAGAAAATGACACACAAAATACCTTTCTGATGTAGGAATCCACGTTCCGTGAATGTCGTTTTGTAAGCTTCAATCTAGAACGCAATATAGGCCTACATGCTTAGTACGTCCTAGCTTCACGCGACATTAGCAAGTTGGCATTGCCAAAGAAGACGTGTCCACCTTTAACTAGTTTTAATTTTCGTTTGAATTCATATACTGGCCTACTACTAGTAGTAGTAGCAGTAGGATCTTTCTAGAGAGATACGCGAATTAAGGTACTACATATAATTGCTAAGAATTGAGAGATGGTGCATTTTATGTAAAAGGTACAGGGGTGCATGTATCTCATACAACATAAATTTGTTCGTTTATTTATTTTTAGCCTTGAATAACCTCACTTGTCATTTTTATTTGGATTCAGTTTTATTTCATGAGAAAAAAAACATAATTCGACATTACGCCAGCGTGAATCTGCCATCTTGAACAATTTATAATTCTAATTTCAATATTGATTTTACATGGCTGGTGAAGCCATGAGGAGCAGGGGTAGGTCCTAATGCTAAGTCCAATATTGATACTTCGTGGTGTAAATTTAAATGTAACAGGTGGTCTTGTCAAGTGAAGAGGATAGGCCGCGGGGGTGACACTGCTGGTGTATATACATACGTATATATTGACAACTTTGAACGTGTGTCTTACTCGTGGTCAGAGACAGTATTCGTATATTGTTAGAATTTTAGTATAAAAAGAAGTTCAAACAATAGTATTATTAGTTCGTAGGCCTATCATCTCAAAGGGGATATACACCGTATAATACTGTATTAATGTTCAGCATCTTGTAACTTATTCAGTAACCAGCAATACAGAAATGACTTTATTCTTCTTTTCTCATTTTCCCACTTTTTAGTTCTTTCTTTCGACCTATTCGTACTGCCGCCGCGTTCTCTCGTGCGAGTACGTGCGTGTGTGCCCCAGTTTGACGTCATGCCAATCTCTCTCTCCACCTGCTTTGCCACACTGCCAATAACCGATGTGATCGTTTTATAGCTATTTCTGCTTTTTTCTTTGATGTCACACTTTCCACGAAATCTTATTCACAACGGAAGACGAGCAGACTGCACTACTTGGCCCCTAATAACGGATCGCTCTATTTAAAGGTGTCAATTCTCTCACTGGCTCTATTTGCTTTGGGTCACCTTTCATAATGCTATTAATTACAACCATCAATTCACGCATTTGGGGAATTTATTCTGTTAAAAGTTACAAACTGAGCGGCGACTATCTTGGAAGGAGAGAGCTATTGACTCAGTGAGTACATTATCGAAGTACCAATAACAGAAAAGATATTTAATCACACATCTGTAAACGCTGGTGTATTACTAACGACTAGGGTGCGGGGGAGGATTGGGGGGGGGGGTGCAAGGTTTTAACTTGGCATGGGCGAGAATTTTTCAAAATAAGGTTTTGAACAATGAAAAACAAGTTTATGTGTTTTAATGGCCTTTGTTTCGTGATGCAATGGTGTTAACTGTGACTCGGGAAATAATCATCACGAATTAGGTGCTTCATCTTAAGAGAAAGAAATTGTACGGTATATATTCATTAATCTATGAAGTGGTTTGTAGAAACTTCGTAAACGTACAACCCTGAACGTTTCATGCCCCGCTCGTATTATTCACAAAGCATACAATAAAATGAAAATAGATAGTTAAGACACCTGATCCTTTGTGATGTGAAGCATAGCATAACTAGATTACCACAGCAACCGTATCTGCTTAGTTTATTCACGCTCCTATCTCTGGTTTTCATGTTATTCTATAATACGATTTCTTTTCACTTCATCTCCAATAATAAGAACAGCAACAACTAGCATTGTGGAGTAGCAGATCATACAGCAAAGATGATCAAAATTGGGGTGTTCAATCCGTGCGTCCGTTTTTGCGCGTGCGCGTGTGCGTGCGCGTCCCTTTTCGATGGAGGTGGTAACAGCTAGTCGTCCTGGGTCACTAACATCTCCCACATATACCTCAACATCCACAACGCCAATGTCGTCTTCTCACGGCCAATTTCCACGCCAGCTCGTGTGTCTTAACAGCGTGGGGAAAAATCATCCCTGCGTCACCCGACGCTGCCATGTGTTTTCCTCACGGGGCACGTGTCACATTCCCAGGCGTGAGAAGTAGTTGAAGATAAGGTGATGAACCATCCCGTATAAAGCTCACCTTGTCCACACCGCCGGCACTCAAGTCAGCTGGAGAGAAAAAGGGAAGGTGCGACTGGCTGGAAATACCGCAGGGAGAGTGTTGGAGTTTCAAAGCCTCGTGGATTCTGCGTGTTCCACTGAAATGGTCGAAATGAAATGGTGTGTGAGAGAGAGAGAGAGAAAGAGAGAGGGTTGTGGGTTAAAAGAATGCATTTTTTTTTTACTTTTTGGAGAGTCAATTTGTACCAAAACAGAGTGTGCATATTGTACATTAACTGCTACGTGGCCGCGGATACATCTACTTAACGTGCACAGCACGTGCTCAGGACGCCATGCAGCCTGAAGGGGTAAGTGACTTGATGAATATGGTTGATTCTACTAATTCATCAACGATGCAACTGACTTATATCTCTCTCTCTTTTTAATAACTTTATTACAAATTTAAATGAACTGAGAATATGACTATTTGACTGATCTTTAAGCGCTGTTTCTTGCAGTTTATATTTATAAGGAATTGCAAGCGGTTTATATGATTGCGACTATTTCTTTTCTTTCGCACGCATTTGATGTCACAATTAGCTTTCAAAGGTTACTTTCAAATGGTGTTTATTATTTCTCTTCTCACACTATTACCTCGCTGTCTCACATGAAAACAAACCAAGGCTTAATGTTAGTCAGTTTTACACAGAAAACGGCGGAGAAGAAGACAAAACGCAGACGCACACACGCCGCTTTTTACGTTGGCCGTACGAACAGGGGTTCCAGTGCAGATACTTTGTTCGTTCGGCTCGCGTTATGGTCGGTGCTAACACAAATTATCCATAACCTTCTGGATGAATAGGAGACTAGGATAGCAGGTATTGAGAGAGAGAGAG